TTACAAACACATAAAAGGTTTAACATAAGCAAAGTAAAAACTCAACACCCCTTCTCAATCAGTTAGTCCTAGGTTAAAACGCAGTTTATTAAATCTCGTGACATCCAGAGCCTTCGTGAAAACATCTGCGAGTTGATCCTTATTTCCAATTGATTTCAATCTGATTATTCCGCTTTCAATATTGTCTCTTATAAAATGATGTTTGATATCTATATGTTTTGATCTTTTAGATTCGATGTTGGTTGCCATTCCAATGCACCCTTTGTTATCTTCATATATAATAGCAGGTTCATCATTGATTTGGTACAAGTCCTTGAGTAATCCTCTGATCCAAATAGCTTCTGAGACTGCTGCACTAAGAGCCACGTATTCTGCTTCACTAGAAGAGGTAGATACTGTTGTTTGTTTCTTCGAAGACCATGATACAGTACAACCAAATACTTTGAAGATGTAACCACTAATCGACTTTCTATCAATTGTATCACTTGCCCAATCAGCATCTGCGTAACCAACTAATGGCAAACCATTTCCATTCCTAAACTCCAAATTTAGCGTTTTTGTACCTTTTATATACCGCACGATCCTCTTTAGGGCTTGCCAGTGTTGTTCAGATGGGTTTTGTTGAAACCTACCCATATATCCAACAGCAAAGCAAATATCAGGACGTACACATAGCATTATATACATGAGACTACCCAAAAGCTCTCTATATGGTTTTTCCAAATAACCTGGGTCTTCTCTAGAAATCAAGTGTATATTTTTCTCCATTGGAGTTTTCACTGGGTTGCACTCCGACATTCCGAATTTCTCTAAAACTTTTTCAATATTTGCTTGTTGAGATAGTTGCAAACCATTTTTGGAGTTTTCAATTTTCATACTCAAGAAATATTTTAAAGGGCCACAATCTGACATCTCAAACCTGTTTGTTAATTCCTTTTTAAGGTCGTCTATTGCAGATAACTTATTTCCAACAATAAGTAGGTCGTCAACATATAGCACAAGTATTAGTAAGTCACCAAGCTTGCCCCTTTTTGTATAAAGGCAATAGTCGTGCTTGGAACGCGTAAAGCCCAACTTTAAAATATAGTGGTTAAATTCCTGGTTCCAACATCTAGGCGCTTGCTTGAGACCATAAAGAGACTTTATAAGTTTGCAAGCTTTCCTTTTTTCCTCACTAATAACCCCTTCTGGCAGGGACATGTATATTTCTTCTTTGAGAAAACCATGTAAGAACGCTGTTTTAACATCGAGTTGATGAAAAAGAAATCCGTTTTTGACACCGACAGCTAAAACAACTCGAATAGTTGTCAACTTCGCCACAGGAGAATAGGTCTCATTATAGTCGATTCCTTCTTTTTGTAGGAAACCCTTCACCACCAGTCTTGCTTTATGACGCACCAAATTCCCATTTTCGTCCATTTTCGTTCGAAAAACCCATTTTGATGATAACAATTTTGCACCTTTAGGAGGAGTTACTATTTCCCATACATTATTATCCTGCATCGATTTTAGTTCTTCGTTAACTGCAAAAAACCACTCATCCTTGTCCGGCCTTCCATAAATGTCCTTAAAATTTTCAGGAACATCTAGCGGAAAATTTAATGCAGTATCGGCAGTATAACTGGTGAAGAAATCAAAAAGCTTACCGGGAAGGTTACGCCTTCTTTGACCACGGCGTAGTGCAGGTTCAGATTTTTGATTAGCGTCCGGTAGCTCATCACCAATACTATCCTCAAAGCAATCCTCGTCTTCT